TGAAATGATATTATCAACATTTATTGTTGTCTCGCTTCATGCAGGTCGGCGTTCAATCCCCGACCGGCCCAGTGGTTGGGCACCATTCCTTCCCCCAGTCCCATCCCAAATCCTTTTTCCTGCTCCCCTTCCCAGTGCTATATAGTCGTAATGGCTTGGCGCTTTCCCCTGACAATTCCCTCCATCCTCCGACCTTCAAGAACATTGTTAGAGCTCCCGTCTACTGCTCTTGGGGCCGGAGCTTCGAGCCTCCTATAGGGTCTCCTATAAGTGAATGAAATTGTTCTAGTGTATTCAATCCTAGTTATAATGTTGTATTCATTCCAAGTCCAAATGTTGTAGTGTATTCATTCTTTGTCCAAATGTTGTAGTGTATTCATTCTTTGTCCAAATGTTGTAGTGTATTCATTCTTTGTCCAAATGTTGTAGTGTATTCATTCTTTGTCCAAATGTTGTAGTGTATTCATTCTTTGTCCAAATGTTGTAGTGTATTCATTCCTAGTGTAAATGTTGTATTCATTCCAAGTCCAAATGTTCTAGTGTATTCATTCCAAGTCCAAATGTTGTAGTGTATTCATTCCAAGTCCAAATGTTGTAGTTTATTCATTCCTAATCGTATTACATGTTTTGTTGCTCTTCAATCGGACCTATCCATCGTTAATTGTTCTGTATTAGTGTGTATGTACTCGTGTATGTACTCACCTACATGTGTTTGCATGGTCAAGCTTCAGCTTTTACGTCAAGCCTTCCGAATGTCAGTTGTTGAATGCAATGGACCTTATTTACTCGTTTTGCTTATTATATATAAATTTTAAATTGTGTCTTAATTTAGCTTGGACAACGTCTGACGGTAGACACCACCAACGATAGTTCAAGTTTCCTTTCACTTCAGCTGACGGAACACACCGCCAGCTACCAGTAGTTCAGCAAACTGGTATTTCAGCCATATGGGTCAACAAAATACACATTGGTTTTATTTTTATTATTATTACATATATTTTTTTGTATTCGTAAAACAATGCCTGAAAGAATAAAGAAGTAGAGTGAGTGGCGCCGCCGCCTGGTGGTGCTCCTACCGGAGCGCTACGCCGCTACCCCGCGCACCAGGAAGCTGAAGGAGGTGATGAGGGGCGTTAAGGCTGCCAGCCTGGTGGTGCTGGTGCTGGCGATGGTGATGGTCACCATTAGGATGGACTCCCCGGCCTTGCTGAACTTGTAGGAGGACGTCAGTCACATCTACCAGACACTGCTGCCCCAACAGGAGGACATCTCACCTTCCCTCAACACCTCTCAGCTGTGGCTTTCCTTGCATCAGCTAGTGAGAGAAGCCCTACTCCATCAGGACGTAACTCATAATGGCGTACTGAAGGGCGTGGTGTCCCTGCGACAATTCAGGGCCAGAGCCAACGCCACAGAGACCTTCTTCCCTGACTGTGACTTCGCTGGTCTTGACACCAGTGAACGCCCCACCCCACTCGAAGCCTTGACGGCGAGTGCCTGGCAGTACACCCGCAGTGGGGTGACGTCAGCAGTGGCCGGCCTGAGGTGCACGTACCCTCCTGAAGGGTACACCATGTACCTTGGGGACGTGGTTTAATCAGCTGACCCACAAACGCATCAGACATCTAGAGAAGGCGTCATCGCTCTAGAGGAGCTGCAGCGCTTCGATTGGGTGGACAACAGGACTCTCGCTGTGCTGCTCACCATTGTTACGGTGGAGCCAGGAATACCTGCAGCTGTCATCTTCACCTACGCCTTCGAGCGTCCCGGGACTCCGACAGATGCAGCCGAGCGGAATGACAGCAAGCTGTGGAGGATCTCGCACTCGTTGGAATCCGTGGAGCTGAGCTACCCTGATGCCAGTGTCATCATCATGTTTGTTTTCCTCATCGTCCTAGGCTTGGTGACGTTCTGCGAACTACGTGTGCGTTTGTAACACTTACGCCTCGGCTACATAAACCAGAACCTCGGTCCTGTATTTAAGATGTGCACTTCGATGGAGACCTTCATTAACCTGGTAGTGCTTGCCCTCCACATCTGTGTTATAGTTTTCGCTTCCAACGCCATCGAACTCAGAGGCCGAGAGCTAAAGAAACTAACGGTGGCGTTCCAGGCGAGGTACAGATCGGAGGATAGTCAGATCCATAATGTGTATTACGACACCTTTTACCACGAACGGCTGGGACATTTGCACCTGGTGGGTAATAATGATACGCATAACCAACACCATAATGGTAAGCATCACCATCCAGAGAGCACTGCAGCGGTCGACAAAAGTCCCACATAGTATCCTATAGAGGCGAGAATAAAAGTCCCGTCGTCAGACTGGAACTCTCAGTACAGAGTGAACATTTTATAGATTCGCTTAAACGGGATAATATATTGGGAAAATATTTGCACGATACTTATTAGTTTCGAGATCATTTTATGCCTGATCAAACTTATTATTTATCATGACTACTTCAGCGAGAGACTCGAACAAATGGTATGGGTACTTCAAAGTGCCTTGTTGATGATCATGTTGACTGTGGTGCCGCTCTTGTTGATCTTCATCGTCAGTGTGGGAGCGCACATCCCGAGCTAGCGGAAGTCTCTGGCTGACAACACCGCTGAGGTACTAGTACTCGTCCTAGCAGGAGTAACCACTACATTCATTTTCAAAGCGGCTATTCAGAGGGTTAACGAAAGAGGCGCAGAAGGCAGATGGACGCCCTTACGCACCCTCCAGCTGTGTCTTCAATCAACTTGGTAAAGAATGATGACCTGGATTGGATGATGAATGGATGACCAGGTCTGGATCTGGACCTGAAAAGCACTGACTCTTTTTTTGCATTATACAATTTGGACATAATTATCCAATTAATATTTACATCATGATGAACCTTTGTTTATAAATGCGGTAACCTGGTCACTAAATCTACAAAATCACTAACACTGCACAAAATCACTAACACTGCACAAAATCACTAACACTGTACGAAGTCACTAACACTGTACGAAGTCACTAACACTGTACGAAGTCACTAACTTTGTAGTGACTTCGTGTACACCACCATAACCCGGGCTATGATCCGCACTAGTCATGATGTTCCCTTTACGAGCTCTTGTAGAGATCTTCACTATCCACGCTATTCACCCCTGGCTACACCGGCATTAGGATTCTCATTTTTTTTCAACACTCCAGGTCCTCCCCCAAGATTCCTAATACCATATTCAGAAGGCCCCCTCCCTAGAGAAGCCGGGGTATTCACAGACCTCGAACTTTGTAGTTTTGGGGGCTTCTTGCACCCCTTGAAGGCCACGACGAAATCGAGTTAACCCAACATTCTCTTCTATTAAGCCCTCAGTCGTCATACCAAATTTGATCGAATTAATTTCAACAGTGTCCGAATGCATACCACACACACATTCATGCAAAGGTAAGTAGTAGTAGGCATCCATCAGTCTCAAGAGACTATGGAGTTGCGCTCTGGTTGTCGGTCTGGAGTGGCCTCACCAGGGGCGCAAAGCCAGGGTAGGTTGATTCGGGGGAGAAGCTGTTACCCAGGCAGCAGGTCCCCCCTCTCCACGACGCTGAAAGTCTCCAATGGAAAGGCATACGCCAATACGATTGGTTCCAGCGCCGTCGCAGGAACTGTGAGTCCCGGGGTTGAGCACGAAGGTGGTGAAGAAGGGCACAGGGACCTGCGACGTAAGTACCAACATCAATTGGTACCAATTATCAATTAAATATCAATTGATACTAATTGATATTTAATAAAAATGATACTACAGGGCGGCCGGTTGTATAGGATTCATCTTCTAGAAATCTAATTTAAATTATGCCTGAATAATGTGAAGATGTGTCATTTTGTAATAAAGTATTTAGATATTTATCACAAATTCTAAATAAATGTACAAAATGTTTTCCAAAATTATGTATTACCCAAAGGCTTATCAAAATATCCCAGCTATAAATAGTATACACAAATCATTGTAAATAACTAAATCCTCTGTCTCCTGCTTAGATAAAAATCCAATTCCAGCATGTATTCCCTCTCGAGGAGTGGCGCGCGAGGCAGACTCAACTGTTTTGGCTCCCTCTACCTGCTGATGCGTGTCTTTCCTTGTAATGAGTTCATTACAGTATCTTGCTTGGCTAATGATATACTGAGGTCCAATTCTTGAATACATTACTCTGTATTTGAAACCCATATACAGCCCTTCTGTCACCATACACAGATGGTTATTGTATCTCTAAAACTCTTCTTCAACCGCCCATCGTTCGTTTTTACTGCAGTAAAATTGACTGAAAGATGTATAATAATAATAATAATAATAATAATAATAATAATAATAATAATAATAATAATAATAATAATAATAATTTGTTATGGCATAAAACATTATGATGAGCCATCGGAAACTGTTTTTCTGTTAATGCTAACAAGGTGGGCCACGATCTTGCACTCAGGTTCTCTCATTTCAATTTGATCAAGAGTGAATTGTTAATTGGGAGACCAAGAATTGACTCTCTTTCCCAGTTCAGTCCAGCCAACCGCAACACAGATCCTGGCTGGAGCAGCAACAGGCGGTCATTGCCCGCGCGGCTGCAACACCTCCAGACTCGCCTATCGTGGAAATATCGAACATCGTTGTACGGTTCCCGAAGACTAAACAGCGTACTTCGACTTTCGAACCGTTTGTATGACTAGACAGGCAATGGTTTAAGGACGGGAAAGCGCGTGCGCTCGCCAAGGTCAGCCCCTCTTTTACTACTTTTACCTAGTGTTGCCATATTAATGCTTGCTTCTTCTGTTTTTAGATCTTATCTGCGTGATTCCAGATTTGTTATACTGTTTTTTTTATCTCGAATGGATAGTAATTCCTTTGATATTTATTGATATTATTTAAAATGTGTAGCATTTGATCAAGAAAGAGGTTATATTGATCGTACGTTTGGCAAATTTCTCGTAGTTGGAGTACCTGCAGCGAAATCTCGTACCGTAACATTTGTAAAGGCTGTCATCAAAATGCAGACAAACCTGTTGCGTAGCTCTACCTCGTGTACCATCTGACGTGTAGCTGTACCTCGTGTACCGTGTAAAATATATTTGTACCATGTAAGGTGTAGCTGTACCTCGTGTACCACGTGAAGTGTAGCCGTACATCATGTACCACGTGAACTGTATGTATAGTTGTACCTCATGTACCTGCTGACGTGTTGCTGTACATTGTGTATGATGTAAAGTGTATCTGTACCACGTGAATTGTAGCTGTACCTCGCGAACCATGTAAAGTGTAGCAGTACCTCGCGTACCATGTGGAGTGTGTCACGTCTCACCTCACCTGTAAACAGAATATTCACGAACTTAATACAGCAACACAGGTGACTGAAGGATTTACAGTGTTCAGAGTTATCGTTTACTCTCACGACTCATGCTTTTCTCATCTTAAAAAGTAATATATTTTATAAACCCTAGAAAATAATAACATAAATAAGCCCTACACTGGCGAGGTAGTGATTGGAGTTAGACTCGCCCAGATAGTTACGAGTGCTTGGCAGGATATACAAACTTAGAATTCCTACCAGAGGTGAGTCTATGTCTTGTACTACTGTCTAAAAATGCTTTAACATGTTTTTATTAATGTCATCAAAGAGTGAGAGGCGCACTGTGCGGCTTGAGCCTTAGGTAGGCTACCAAGCCGGATAAGGTAATGTATTTTGTGTTGCTCGCTTCATGTAGTTGGTAGAGAAGTGCATTATACTGTTTGACATACACTATACTGACTATAGCATCGGTATGACCACCAACTAGTACGTTCTACTTGCCACAAAAATATCAGCATGCTATATGCGTTAAATGACGCTGATTGTATTGAATATTAACTAGGCTAGCGTCAGTTACTAGGCTTTTTCACCACATTGCATATGTTTCTATCTAGGAAAAAAATTATATCTCCTATGATAAAATTATGTTATAACATTATATGCTCGAAACGTGTAATGGCAGAGTGGTTATAGTACTGGACCCGCCAAGGGGCATGACGGGCCTGGCTGACCAGGTTCTCTTGCATTTCTCTTCGCATTTGTGCTACTCATGTGGTCCCAACAGCCAGGTGATCCGATAAAATATCTATACCCTAAAAGTGACCATCGAGTGCTGTCGGGGGTTGGGTTAAAAGTCTCATGACTTCCAACCGTCGTGTACAGTCAGTATGGTCTAGTTGGTATAGTACTGGATACGCAAAGGTTCATAGAGCCCTGACTGTCTGGTTTCGAATCCTACAGGGGTGAGAGGTTTGCGGCTATATATAATATAATTAAATATATAATATATTTATTATATATATATATATATATATATATATATATATATATATATATATATATATATATATATATATATATATATATAAGTTCGAGCTTAAGTTCCGGTTTCCGTGGCACATAACACCAGCTATCATTAGGCACCAGGCACTCACTAACCACTTTGCAACCACTTAATTGTTTAGAGTTATCCTATCCCACTGAGTAACCACGTAATTGCTTAGAGAATTTTTCTTGCGCGCAAATGTGAAGAGAACTTATGCAAACTTTTTTTTTTATTTAAGCGTGCTGTGTGTTTGTTTTGGTGATTTGATGAAAATTTTAATATTTTTATTTTTTCCACTTCACCGTTTGCTTTCTAGTTACAGCTACTTAAAACTAAGAATTTAATTCTAGAATTCTTACGAGAGTTTAACTGGATTCTGGAGATATCACAGTCACTATACAAACCCTTGCCCAATGGCCATATTCAATGTTTCATCATCTTTACTTATTATGTTATTTTACAATCATACTAACAATAAATAGTGTTCGTAATATACAGCTCATGAACCCAACCACTTAGACTGACCAAGTGGTTGGTTGGTCAGCGGCGATTTCGGTTCTTGCACGTCGGTGTTCGATCCCCAACGGTCCAAGTGGTTGACCACCAATATTTCCTTCTGCTCTATCCCAGATCCTTATCCTCATATCCCATCTTCTTGTCCTCATAACCCAACTCCTTATCCTCATATCCCAGCCACCTGACCTCGTACCCTGGCTCCTTATCTTCATATCCTAGCCCCTTGTCCATAAATCCCTTCCACGTGTAGCCGAGCTGGCTTAGCGCTTTTTTCCTGATAATTAAATAAACATATCCCATATCGATATAGTAAAGCCTTAATACCTTTTATTCTTATTTTTTATAACTTTGTATAAAAAGGTATAAATTTTATTTTTTGTCACATTTAGATTTCACACAAATGTAGGAAACACAAATATAGTTGTATTTCTGCTTAAATGAGCTACTTTCTTTGATTAAATTATTGATTTGGAGGTAACAATTAACAAATTGCTAAATTTAACTTGAGAAAAAGATATTATCGGAAGAGTTGAAGCTGCCGTGGTGTTTTATCGCGGGTATCTGCAGAGGAGGAGGAGGCGCCTAGTGTCCTTGAGCTACAGCACCGACCTGTCCGCACTCGACCTGCTGGTTGTCTAGCTAACACTCGACCTGCTGGTTGTCCAGCTAACACTCGACCTGCTGGTTGTCCAGCTGACACTCGACCTGCTGGTTGTCCAGCTAACACTCGACCTGCTGGTTTTCCAGCTGACACTCGACCTGCTGGTTGTCCAGCTGACACTCGACCTGCTGGTTGTCCAGCTAACACAGGGTCGTCAAGACCACATCAATTCAGTCGTCACGCTTACCTACATCCGACTAATCGTCAAGCCCTCACTAGCAGACACTAGCAGACAGGCTTTGGCTTTAAGGCGCACACATGCTACTTTACCTGTAACAAAACTGAGATCAGACATTGTCTACTTCAGATATAATTACTCGCAAGACCACACTGATAGACCACCTAAAGGTTGAATTTACAGTCACACTTAGGAAAAAATATACGGTAGCCCTGGGAAGGGGGAAATAAAAGTTAAATATATCAATGCAAAAATTATTTAGGAAAGTTTGTAAACACATCAATTAACTTTTTTTATAAACTATGGAAATATGAATCACGATTATATAAATAAGTTTTGGTAGTGTGAAAAAATAAAATATAATAGTGAAAGTTGCTTATACCCCTACAATTTTTATCTTATTTACTTAAAGTTTGTCTTCAACTTAAATATAGAAGACTACAAGAATTAGGAGGTTTGTATTACTCTCCAGTACTATATACAAGATAGCTGGAGCTTACGTAAGCCAGTGGTGGCGGGCCGTGTGTGAGAGAGATCACCGGTCTGCCTTCATTGATCGCTAAGAGCCACGTATCTCTTGTGGAAATTTTTTAGTTCACGAGCGAAGCGGTAATCATCCCACTCTTAGTTTTGCATTAAAATTTCTGTTTATTTTTGGCATAACTCTAGTGTATTTTACGGCACTTATGTTTGTTTTATTTGGTTGTTAAAAAAAATTGATCTATAGATCAAACACATTTTTAGACAAATTATAAAAGTTAGCTTGAAATTAAAGTGGTGATGCATATTGGTAAGTGAGTGTGTAGCTGTAATGACAGCAGTAGTGGTACTAATAAGAGAATATAGTTCTACACGTGTGGCCATGCTAGGCTTGCTTCACCTCTTCCTTACTAAACTTTATAGTTTGTTTGATAATTAATAATAATTCATTGTGTCGGTAGACAGGAAGCCGGGTTATACATACAGTACATGCTAGGCTTATATCGAGGTCTTTCCTCAGGGTCGAATTACATGACCCCGCCCAGGAAGCAACCCCACAACAAGCTGACTGGGTACCTTTTTTACTGATAGGTGGACAGACGCATAAGGTGAAAGGAAACGTGCCCAAACATCGATCGCCAATATGTTGGCCAAAGCGTGCATATAATATTGTGCGTATTATTATTATTATTATTATTATTATTATTATTATTATTATTATTATTATTATTATTATTTTCACCATTCTAAGCTATTTTTTCATTTACTTCTGTAGTTTACTGCAATAAAAGTACCTCATTTCCTTTACAAGCGGTACATTAAACACACAAGAGAAACTAGGAACTTCCTTGAGAAAAATAACCTCGGGTTGTGCAAGAAAATGACATACAAATTGTTGACATTTTTGCAAGTGAATGTTGTGAGCTCACTCTCTCTCATTTTTATATATTTGTTTTATTTGTATGTCTGACCTTAGTATAAACCTGCTATAATCTTACCGTCCTCCGGCTTCAGGAGTCGAGGATGGCTCCCCCGAGGAAGATCTCCCACTCTTGCTCTGCTGGGGTGCTGCCCACCTTCGCCCAGCTGAAAATGGGCGGGGATGGGGTGCTGCTGGTGCCGGCGCCCACCCGCCTACCATCAGCCCACCACGGCTACGCCCACATCCCTCACGGTACACAGCTACTGAGGTGAGGAATGATACGTAGTGTGTCACTGTAAACCAGAGCTCATCTTCCCTCCTGCACCACTTTATGGGGCACTATGTCTGGCATCTATACACTGTGATGTTTTGTAGTGTAAAGTGTCAAAAGTGCTTAGTGAACAGCTTTGTGTTGTTAGTGCAGTGGTGGTGAACAGCTTTATATTGTTAGAACAGTGTTGGTGAAAGAAACATATGACACCCGATGCTTTAAGTGGTTGGGCACCGTTTCTTCAGTCCGTTTTCATATCATTCAGTTAGTTTCTTATAGATTGAGGAGGATTAAGGCTTCAAGTACTTTTAATTAGGCTTATTTAATTGTAGTTAGATTTTATTCTGGTTCAGAATGCACATATGATTTTTATTATATAACATTTTGATGGACGTGTGTGTTTTGATGGACGTGTGTGTTTTGAGGGACGTGTGTGTTTTGAGGGACGTGTGTGTGTGTTTTGATGGACGTGTGTGTTTTGATGGACGTGTGTGTGTTTTGATGGACGTGTGTGTGTGTTTTGATGGACGTGTGTGTGTTTTGATGGACGTGTGTGTGTGTTTTGATGGACGTGTGTGTTTTGAGGGACGTGTGTGTTTTGAGGGACGTGTGTGTGTGTTTTGATGGACGTGTGTGTTTTGATGGACGTGTGTGTGTTTTGATGGACGTGTGTGTGTGTTTTGATGGACGTGTGTGTGTTTTGATGGACGTGTGTGTGTGTATTGATGGACGTGTGTGTGTTTTGATGGACGTATGTGTTTTGATGGACGTGTGTGTTTTGATGGACGTGTGTGTGTGTATTGATGGACGTGTGTGTGTATTGATGGACGTGTGTGTGTTTTGATGGACGTGTGTGTTTTGATGGACGTGTGTGTTTTGATGGACGTGTGTGTCTTGATGGACGTGTGTGTTTTGATGGACGTGTGTGTCTTGATGGACGTGAAAGATCATATATTTGTATTTGAAAGTATGCAATTAACATTCTGTATGATGTAGGAGACATGAAATATTTTCCTTGATCATCCTAAAGAGATATAATGATATTACTGCATTATTATCCTTATCGCCGTGACAGTTAATATATCGTGTACTGTGTGTTAGGGTGTGGGTGGAGGTGCGTGGCTCAGGCCTCCACGTGTACCCCCACCGGGCCTCCTCCATCCCCTCCCTGGTGGTGCCTCACCTCCACCTCTGTCACGTCACCGTCGCACCTCACACTACCAGCAGCTCCTACCGCGTCCAGATTTCCCTCAAGGTAGGTCACTGGAAATATTTCTAGACCTGGATATTGTTTATAGTCCTAGGTCCTTTATCTATGTTAAAGCTTAGATGAAGAGTTGGCTGCATTTAGAGAATTGTAAAATATAAGCTTTTCAAGATTTTACTACAATACATAGTATACCCAAGGTCAAAATCAAAAGATCAGAAAACCAAGGTCAAAATTTTTGATCAGAAACAATAACACACACGACGGAAAGTGACAAAGAAGAGGCATACACGGATGCATCCCAACTCTCCACTTCTAACTAATTATCAAGGTCCTAATTGCCTAACCTTTCCTCCTAATAAAACGTCGCATTTTGGCGCATACTCTGCCTAAGGGCAAAAATTGTCGTATTAGAAAATGGTAGCGGCTCGCGAAATTGACATACTGTTCTGTTTTCTGTTTTTGGCCCTCTGGTAGGTTAGGATAAGGGCACTTTAGTACGATACTTTCTTGACGTTTGGAAAACTTAAGAGAATGGGCCTAATACGTACAAAAGTGCCCCCATCTCCCAAAAAGACATGATCTTGTATGGAGACATGTTGTAGACGTAAAAGATCCATCACCTGGCACTTGACCAAGCTGATGCACTACGAGAGGCTGCAACATATCCAGTGATGAGAAGTGTGTCACTGAGCTAGCAGCATTACTAGAGCAGTCTTACGACTAGGCTAGTCAACGTGTTATTATTTGAAATCGCCTCTAATTTGCATACGTAATTTCTGTAATTACTTAAAAATGTTGCTAAGATGGCATACTATATGCAATGGCAAATAGGAAACCGAGTAAATATTGAGAGCAAAACGTATGCGTAATTAATAGGCTAGTCTAGGCTTATCTTTTAATTGAATAGCTTTTATGAATTAATTTAAATTCTTATTATAACATGGCATGTAGGAAATGATTGGTTAATGGGTAATATATTGTCAATTACATGCAGATATATAGCACATCTCCTGTGCCAGGTGAGTACGACGGGCTCACCATAGCCTGTGCTGCTGGAGCATATGTAAATTTAGCTAGAGAAATAACGAATATACAGCGTTGTACAGTAAGCTTTAAGGTTGGGCAAATTACTTATGAATTGTCAGAGTTGAGTTGTTATCAATATGTAAATATCATCTTGGTAAAGTAGAAAAAGAGTTAGGAAATGTCCAAAATTAATTCCCCTTCCTGATTTAATCAAGCTGTTGGTTGGGGAGCTGCTAGAGCAGTCAGGGAGAAGGCGGGCAATGATGTCGAGTCTTCCACTTGGAATTTAAAGGGTTAGGCTGGGAAGTATAGTATTCAGACAACTGTTATGTATTGTGGATAGGTTTTGGGTTAGCAATATTGCTTATGGAGGTAGGCGAGTGTTTGTCACCATTTAATGAAGTTGTGTAACTTATGTTAAAGAGATAAACCGGAATAATTGGCAGTTATTTACATTAGGCAACAATAGGAAGGAGTCTTCTCAGCTGTTCCTCCAGCCGGTCCTCCAACGGTTTCCCAACGTCAAGAAACTGTTGCATTCAAGTGCTCTTATTCTAACCTACCAGAGGACCCAAAATAAAAAACGGGACACTTTAAATTTCTCGAGCCGCTTCCATTTTCTAGTACGACGATTTTTTGCCTTAGGTAGAGTGTACGTCAAAATGCGACGTTCTATTAGGAGGACGGGTTGGTTCGTCTGCTTGGATTTTAAATGTCAGTTATAGTGTGGACTTGGTAGAAGTACAATGTGTTGAACATTCATCTGTGGTCATATAATCATAATGTAGCCTATTTCAGTTTAGTTTATATTGTGGCTGCAGGTAATTTTAGTTAGTGCTCATATTGATTTTATTTTATGTACATCAGATATGAATATTCAGTTTAATATATTGTGAAATACTTCGAGTTTTGTCACCCCTTCATATATTATTCTAGTCCTCTTATTTCTTGATGACTAGTGGTGCTAGTAAGTTTTTCCTGTATTTCCTTAACGTATTCGTTCCTATATACTGGAACCGGAATTTTATTGGCAACATTGTAGACAGTAAAGCACCAATGTGTAGTGGTTATATATGCAGCTTTTCAATATGTAATAAATTTGTTATGACTGGTGGGGCCTCGCCCCCGCCCCTGTCTAACAGTAATTCATGCTGCCCCCCTTCACCGCTCACGAACCTCTCTCATTCTTGTCTATCTTCCCCGTTAAGTTTACACTCGCTTAATCTGCTTGTGTGGATGCAGAATAATAATTATGCGTATGAACACGAATAATCTCGTGTCCATCATCCACGTAGGTAAGACGTAATAATGATATTTTATCTCCGAGTTTAGCTGCTGTGTACTATGACTGAGGGTGATTAAGGTCAACTCTAACCTTACCCTCACCCCAATTTGCAGTATCATTGGCAGTACCGGCTGCAGAGATAAAGCTATGACACATTTTTTCTCTGTCACTTCCCTCTCTTGCGCGCGTTCTCTCTCTCTCAAGGCTGTATAAAGGTTACATACGGTATTGCAAGCAACAACATACCATTAAATCCGAATGAATGTCTGTATAATCCCCCCCCCCCCTCCATCCGTCTCTGCCACTCAAAGTACTGATAACGAAGATAAGGTGCTAGTTATTCAGCGCTCTCTCGTTCAGTCTCCCCTTCCGCCCGGCCAATCAACAGTGCATTGACACGCATTCGTCAGTGTACGCACAGTTACGGCGTGCTGCGCTCACAGCTACAGAGTGATATACGCACAGTTGCGGAGTGATATATGCACAGCTACGTTACAAAATATTCTCACTCACGGAGTGGTATACGCACAGTTATGGGGTAATAGACGCACGGGTACGGTTTGCTGTACGCAAAGTTACGGAGTGATATGTTCCCAGATACGGAGTGATAAACTCACAGTTACGGCATAATATACGCACAGCTATGGCATGATATACGCAGTTATGACGTAATATACTCACAGTTACAGCGCAATATATATACACAGACTTACAAGAACACGCAGGAAATATTTTCATATTAATTGTATTCCCCACGCTCCGTTTTCTTTGATCGCTTTGGTGGTAGTGTGCTCAGTCTGCCTCTTATATAATGTTTGTATTGTCTACATATACATTTATTATTATCATCATTACTATTACCATTATTACACTGCACATTTAGGCCACTCTGTCGCTTAGTCCCACGTTGTCTCCTAATTCATTCTCTCTCTCTCTCTCCCACTTGATCTTATTATCTCACTTCCTCCGTTACTCTAATTTCCTGCGTTACTTTCACGCTGTCTTTCTCTTACTCTGAATTTCCTTCACTCGATGACTGGTGGTACTCTCCGGTGGGCAAGACATGTACCAGTAACAGTGAGTCAACGTTGTTTGCCCAACATGTGCGCTCTCTGGTAATGACGTCAGTGATAGGTGTAGCTACACGCTTGCCCACCCTCACCCAACACGATGCCTTCCTTGTCCACCATCACCCCACCACGATGGCTTCCTTGCCCACCCTCACCCACCACAATGTCTTCTTTGCCCACCCTCACCCAACACGATGCCTTCCTTGTCCACCATCACCCCACCACGATGGCTTCCTTGCCCACCCTCACCCACCACAATGTCTTCTTTGCCCACCCTCACCCACCACGATGCCTTCCTTGCCCACCCTCACCCACCACAATGTCTTCTTTGCCCACCCTCACCCAACACGATGTCTTCTTTGCCCACCACCCTCCACGGTGCCTGCCCTGCCCACCATCACCCACCACGGTGCCTACCTTGCCCACCTGATAATCGTCTCTGTGGAGGACTTTCTCTATGGATTAATAACTAATAAATAAATTCTCAATTAGAAACTTTGGCAGCTGCTGAAAATTTCCATGAATTTTCAGTACTTTCAAAGGTAAAGATATGAACCAAAGTATGTAATTTTTCCGTCTATTTATATTTAGCGTTAGTTATTTCCTTTCAGACCATTTACATGTCATTATTATTATTATATCACGAGCCGCGTAAATATGGGATGGGGGGGGGGAAGAGAGTGGACGGTTTGGATGATAAATTTGGTAGAAAGTGTTTGGTGTGTCAACAACCCTCCAGCGGTACGATGATGTACGGTACCTCTGAAGCGCAACATTGTATGGGGGTCGTCAACCTGTTGATTGTGAGGTGATTGTTTGACCAGTTGTGGTCAGTAGATTCTGTAAATTCAGAACTGGTTTGGAGTCACTCGCCTGAATCTGTTTTCAACTATAAATGATAGAAAAACTAGTTAGTCGGGGGTCAGAAGAGTCAGTGTTTTGTGTGATCTTTGCGTGAGAAAGAAGGGTAGGTAGCCTAAGCTACTCTAACCCTTTGAGATGTATTTTTTCTTGTCTCAATAAACATACTTGAACTTTGCGTGAGAAGGGAACTAGAGGATTGGGTAAGGAAGCAATCGAGAAGGTGCGGGATTGCCTGAGTGTGGAGGAGGGAAGAAGCAGCAGGTGGGAGTATCCTGTTGAGAAGGTGGAAGGTGTACTCACCTAGTTGTGCTTGCTTTGGCTCTCTTTGTCCCGCCTTTCAACTGCCAATTTACTGGTGTAGAGATTCCTGAGCTTCTCTAGCCTCATCATATCTACATTTGAAACTGTGTATGGAGTTTTCTTTCCTGCAAGCCTCATTGGCCAATCGATCTACAAAGTCACGTTCTCCAACTCCAACATGGGATGGGATCCACACAAATTTTATACAATAGTATAGTTATTATCATTGGCAAAAATTCCATTCCATTTAATATTACAAGCTACTTCAGACATAAATTGTGATGGGTTATTTAAGGACAGCAAAGCACTTTAGTCTCAAAATATTACTCCACCCTTAAAGTACTCAGTGGCTTGATAAATACCCAATAGCTCGTTCAATCTCTGTGTACTAGACATGATCATTTCATTCCCTTTATATACTGCTCATGCACAACATGTTCTGCCAGTGCTTAATTGCACAGAACTATCAGTAAAGGCGTAGGATTCAGTTGGTTTGAGAT